CATCCGCCCAAACCGCAGTAACTCACCCACAGAATAAGCATGACACAAACGAGCAAAAGAGAAGAAAAACTACACCTTAACAGAGGCAGTAAATTCCCTCCATCTCATAAAAAGAGGGCAATTTGAAGACCGCACTGCTGTCATTTCTATGTATTACAGTAGCCTACATGCATGAGTTAAGGTGTGCTTCATTACATCTACATAGATTTAGCTCATATGATGGTCAGATGAGTCTTTTTTCTCCTGTGTGGGCAAGAATAGTTTGGTCTAGTCCTTTTTCTTACCATGAGGAGGAAAAGCACAAAAAGTCCCAAGAGAACGTTCAGCGTCCACTTGCCCCTTTTATATTTAGGTTGAACAGTCTGCCTGGAGGTGCTTTGAGTGATTAATCGCCTCCTTCATTTTCTGCTCACCAGACCATCATCTGGTTAATTAGAGGTAATGGATTATGTCTACCCAGATGAATAACTGTAACCATGTCAGCTTCCAAAGCTGGGAAAGCCAAACCTGTGAAACATTAGCTCTTTAGGAGAAAGTATTTTGTCCTTTTCTCTCCTTCTCCCTCTATTTCCTCTCACTTTCTTACAGTCTGTATTCTGATGTAGGTTAGCTGGAATGTTGACTTTGGACTGCTGGTTGAAAAAGATCGCTCTGAGAATGCAGCTGACCCTCGACACCCCCTCTGAGCCCCTTCAGACTGCAGGCTGAGGGTCCGCTTTTTGCTTTCATTTATTATTTGCTCAATTGCTCACCGGGCGCATTACGTCTGCTTGGGGCACATGGTGTCAGCACACAGGCCTCGGCAGTGACACAGGTTGGGGGGCCCGGGGTCTGAAAGTCTGCTATTTGCTCTGAATCTTCCCATCCAATGGAGAGAGCAGTGTAGAAGTAGAATAAGACAATAATTGTTAGTCTTGTTTTGTAAAAGATGATGGATAGCCCCAAATGTCACACAGCTGTCTTCTCTCTACCCGAAGAGATAACATTTTTCACAAAGCAAAAAGTTTAAACATCATATTACAGCAAATAATTAGTCATTTGACCTTAAACTAAGGTTGTGCGCTGGCAGTCAATTAGCCTAGCTTAGCACAAATACTGGAAAAAGCAAAACAACTTTATCACCGGATTAATCAATGTGATATTAGTACGTTTAAGATGTGCAGGCAGTTGAATTTCCTTTTTATGTTAGGACAGTCAGCTGAGTCCCCATGTTTCCAGACTTTATGCTAAGCTAAGCTAACAGGCTGCTTGCGGGGTCTCCAGGGTTTTGTTTTTTCCTAGCTCAATATCCTCTCAATAGGAAATATTAAGGATACTTTTCAAACTATTTTATGTTTTCATCAAGTTTTTAACAGAGGTCAAAGGTGCAATGTATGTTTCGCTGGGTAAAAATGTTTACTTCGCCCACAGCTTATAGCTTAGCCTACTGGTTATTCTCCTCAAATTTGAAGGCAAGACAGTTTCCTTTACCTTTGACATTTATATCTCCAGATTGGCCACAGATTTTGACCATCCCCGCTGCAGTTACAACATGCATTTCTCCGTTTTGCACTATGAACGACACACTTTTTGCATCACTATATTCATGTTCTAAGATCATACTGGATCAATCTTCCAATGCATCTATTCGTATGAAAGCTTATTAGTGTATTTTCCAAATAAAATAGCATATACAGTACACTTTTGTGCTGAGTTGTCTTGACCCCTTTAAGATTAGCTTGAGTTTGCTGGCATAGACACGGCGAGGCCCCACTTTCCCAAAAGGCTTACGGTCTCTTTGCACAGACGTATAATTCCAGTCACAGGACATTTCACCCTGGAGCACAAATTACACACATTTATTTGCTTATATCAGCAAACAGAGCAGAGCTTGAGATCATCTGACATTGAAAGAAAGATTAGAAAAAGAGTCATGCATCTCTGCACCTGCCACACTAAGATCTTAATGCACAAGATAATCCTCTGTGGTCTACTACAAGTATCCCCCCAAACAAGGTTCATTAATTGCCAAAATGAATTACATGCCCCAAAGAAACTCAGCCACACGCCAGCAATAATGTAAGTTCAATAAATAGAGGATTTCAATTAGGGCAGCACTTGTAATAGAAGCACTATTGTTGTCTCATCTGGGACGGTATAGCCGGGGGCTTCTTGGGCAGCTAAGCCCCATTAGGTCTCACTGAGAGTGCGCTGGCAGCGGAGGACTTGTGGATAGATGCTGAAGACAGAGGCGACTGGTTTCCTCTGTGCAGCCAGCCCTGGGGCATGTTGCCCAACCCACAGAAGCCCAGCCCAAAATGACCCAGCATTGCACCACAAATACTGTATATCCACATCCAGTATACACACAAGTTCCCATCACTGAGCAGTGCTGTATTTCACCTCAGAGAGGCTGAGTTAAATCAATGTAGGGAATCAATGAGAGCTTCATTGGATTTACCGTGCAGGAATATGAAATGTCAAACTGTCTCTGTGGATTTGTTGTAGACTCTATCAGTGACACATTTTTCAGACTGAAGAGGCCCCACTGTAGATAGACTTGAGGAGTCGACAGCAAGATGTTTTAAAGCCTTTAAATCCACATACTGTGTTAATGTGTTTGTTCTTGCAGGATTACAGCTTAACACATGATTATACTTTTTCTTTTATTGCACATGAGAGATATTTATTATTGTAAATGTCTCCGCTGTGGGACTAATAAAGGATTTCTGATTATATATAAGATGTATGGGGAAGTTCCCAACCCGGGGCATCCCAAGATAACTCTTTCTTGTGGATTATTGGATGCTTTCAGTTTCACCTCTTCAGGGGTTAGACAATTCACCAAATTAGACACATCCATAAAGGAAAAACATCACTTCTCCCATCCCATGAGTAGAGTTCACACGTTGGTCACCAAATCCTCCTCCTTCATTGCTGTTTTGTGATTGTTGATTTGTGTTTTGTTTATATATTGATATCTAGATCATCCGTATTACATTTTTAAAATGTTTAATTAAAATTTGCATTTAAATTAAAGCCATCACATATTAAAACAAGTTTTCTGTATGTGTCCCTTATTTTGTGTAAAATTGCAATGTTGACACACCCAGTTTGTTTTCTACTTTCTCATGCCATACCATTTACCCCCTATAAAAATAATGGATCAGTCCCTGACATCAGCAACCAGGAAGTGATTCCACATGTCTTTGGAACAACATGCTGCTAAGAAAGGCAAGTGTCAGCCTCTTCTCCTCATCATAGTTTGCTGTTTTTATTATGAGAATCTGATTTCAAGCTCAACATTTAAACTGCTAAATATCAAGCTCCATGTGGTGTTATTGTCTTATCTAAATATGGAGTGATGGCTACCAGCCAAAAGCTTAAACTCTGTCCCAACATAAAACGTAATCATAAAATAAATGCTTAATAATGATTGGGATTTCTGAGGTGTCTGAGGTGGGAAAATGTATTTCCTGAGCCTGTTTTTCAGGTCTCAGGCTCGAAAATGACATTCCCAGAACAAATGACCATATCTTCCCTTCTAAAAAGGGTTACATTAATAATCTTTTTTCTCAAAGTAATGATAAACCTGTGAGTTGGATGTAGAAAAGTCAGAATCAATATAGATGTTTTTTATTTTAAAGAAAATTCAGATTGAACATAGTAAAAAAACTGTAAATTATAGTGTCCGTCCAAAAATTCTTTTTTACAAATAGTGAAAACTTGGATGATGGGTTAGTAGACTAAAAGCTTTAGGAATCCAAAGTACAACATATAATAAGTACCCTGTATCAAGATTGATGCAAAACAAGTGACAATTGACCTTTTTTAGAGAGGTTTAGCAAAAAAAAAACACTTCTGGGGTCATTTGGGTGGATTTTCCATGGCTGCTTCTCAGGTCGACTATTTTCATTTCCTCGCTCCTCGGTCTCACCGGAAGTTGATTTGCCTGCGCCATCTTGAGTACCGTCCCATGGCTCTTATTTCTGCCGGAGGACCGAGGATCGAGGAGCGAGGAGCGATCATGGAGGAGCGATAACCGAGGAACCACCAGACCATCCTCAGATGAAATCCTCAGATACTCACCCCGCCCCCTTACTGTGTATCGCTCACTGATTGGACGAGGCAGTGCATGCACTGATCTGATGCTTCTTGACATGAGAGCAGAGTGAAGAAAATACATGAACCTCACGGGAGTCACTCCTCAGTTTATACCGTGTTTTGTTTCAATTCATGTTTCATTTAGTTACAAATATGTGATATATCTGAACAACAAAGTGGTCAAAAATCATTTAATTCATTTTTTGGAAACATTTTCATGATCGCTTTTTTCGTTTTACATTTTCATTTATTGTCATTTCCATTCAGTCAGTCATTAAGTGCTGTTGCAATATTAATTTACTACATATCCAAACAAACAAACAAAGTGTGCAATCCAATGAATGTTAATCTAACTGGGTTTTGATAGATTACATTACATTGCATTTAGCTGACGCTTTTATCCAAAGCGACTTACAATAAGTACATTCGACCAGGAAGACACAACCTTGAAGAAAACAGAATCATATAAGTAGATAACATATCTCTTTTTCTTCTCTCAATTATTTTATTTCTATTGTGCACTCTAATCAATATTAATCAAACTATTGTTCGTTTATACATTTTAAGAATGGCGTTTATCTTTTTTGAGAATTAGTTCTTATTTTATTTTATTTATTGGGGTCTACAACAGATGATACAAATGTTTGTGTCAGTAAATGTGTGCTAACAGAGGCGGGGGTGTGTGTGAAAATAACGGGGACAGAGCTGCTGTCAGACGATCAGCTGTGCAGCGTCATCACAAACGGACGTCGCTTCACGTGACGCTCCGGAGGAAAGGACGTCCCATTGCTCTTAAAACTCATTTCCCTGCTTCTCGTGGTTTCCTTGCGTCCCTCCATGCTTCCCTGGCGGGAGGGACTAAACGCAGGGAAACGACGCAAGTGAGGGAAGCAAGGATTTCATTTAATCGACCTGAGAAGCAGCCCATGTCTCTGGCCCCCCGTGGTCGATTTCGCTGATTGACATCTCTTTCTAACCGTCAGAGCCAATGGAATCGAGGGAAAGTTCCCCATACACACACAGCATACTAAATAAGGAGTGAGAGAGACGCGTAGAAAAACCGGAAGCTGCGCTAACCTCTGGTGGCTACCATTAGCAGCAAATCTTTCTTCTCCGATTTTTGCATAAAAATGGAATTATGGATTATCAATAATTTTTTCAAAGTGACAGACACATTGCTATAACCTATGGATTAACCTTCAGCCGCGTTTTTTCTCGTTGTAATGCCATTGAACACGACTTTTGATCAGAATAACAGCTAAGGTGAGCATATCTCCGTGTTTTGCTACCTAAAGCTACTCGTGTTGTCTGTATTTGCTTCCCCTGTCACGAGTTCTGATCGCTCAGTGATGATCCTTATATTTCTATAATCTATGGACTCTCGGGATGTTATCTAAGGTTGTTTGTGCAGATCCAATAAATATATCGATCAGTGTAGCTAGAGTTCTGTGCTAACGGCCATAAGATTGTTTCGCTCGTAGCTAATTCAGAGGCTCGGCGCTAGCTTTGTGGGTTTAAAAAAAAGAAAAAAAAAGATCAGTTAGCTGAGTTCCCGTTACATGGATATAAAACATTCATAGTGTATTGAATATTAAGAAGCCCTCAGACGCTGTTTCCTGCAGATGACGCTTTTTTTTCACGCGTAGAAGAGGTTTATCAAGTCAACCAATCTCAGAGAATCATACATCTGAGTTTATGGTTGTTTATTCTAAATAACTGTTGATTTACTTCTAACTCTAACTCACTCTTGATGACTACACATGCATAGGCTACATATTAGATTAATGACTGCTTCTTGCTTTCTGTGAGAACTTCATATGTGTTATTGTCTGGCATGACAATGCAACTAATATACAACAACTTTTGTCACCTTTTGTCTATGTTATGTCTGCTTTCTCTGACTTTCAATCATTTATTTGCTGTCAGTGAACACTTAGATATCATCTTTGGCCTGCTGCCTTTTTTGTGGGAGGAGTGTTTAGATGATTAAATATATGTTGCTACATGCATCATATGGTATTATTCTTCTAGATTTCGTTTGCCAAACTTTTTCGAGTGTGAGCTGTCATTAATTTCCCTGCTTATTGTATTGTCTAACAGCTGATGCCACAGATGCAGGGGATGCATTTGTATTCAGTATTCATTGTGTTTAAGGCCAAAGTAATCTCCTCTTCCACCTGTGCACATACTTAACAAACTCTAGACCTTCGCCCACTGAATTAATGAGAGCATGATCTGTAAAATAGTTTTATAGATGCTAAAGCTCAACTGTGGAAACAGAGTTAGAGTTAAGATCCCAAAGCGACTGTCGGCAGAGAACTGAGGGATAACTTACACATTTCTGTCATGCCTTAGGAATTTAAAACAGATTACACTTTGCTATCTCTGCTCAAACAACAACAAATAGGAACATATAATGTGATCATCATAACATAGTCTGTGTTAAAGCTAATTGTAAGCGGAGAGAATGATTGTGAAGCAGAAAAAAACTAAACTTAGGCTTGAAAAACAGAAAACCAAGATATAAGTGAAATGAGTGCAGATAAGACTGATGAGAGGATGGAGATTGTATCTACGAGTGTTTGAGACATTTCCAAAATATTTGTTATTTACATAAGGATATCTGCTGTCGGAGGACTAGTGATGTTTATCTGCAGACAGGGCAGAGGAGTCTTTCACTGTCAGGACGTCCTAAGCATTGCCAGGCCTGGTTATGGTAGAAGTGGCTGCTGAGAGGGTCTGGGTAGACAGGGGTTTGTTGGGCTCTTGTCTAAACCACCTTTAATTTCCTGTTGATGGGTCTCACAGATCTGATTTCCTGCCTACGCATGAAAGATAATCTTGCTGCCAGCCCGCTGACTTCGGTGGGGGAGTATTTCACTTCAATGTGCCACAGCGACTTTAGCTAAACCCCAAAAAATCCCTCCACCCCCATCATTGTTGGAAGAAGGACCTCGCATTACGAGTTCATTATTTAGTTTTTATAAAGGTCGATGGGAGAGTGTGCATTGGAGAGAAACAGAATAGGAGTTAGTGTAGGCAGAAGTATATAATACATTTGACTACTGAGGTAACAATATAATCCAGTTTTTCCAACTAACACTGGCAGCAACAACCTTAATAAAAAAGCTGGTTTCATACACTACGTCTGACATTGGCCAGTAATGATATTGCAGTGCAGGAGAAGTGGCTTGGCCTGGTCGCAGGGTGGAAGAATGTAAAAAAAATGAAGAGGAATAATGAAGATCAAGGACGCAGAGGGAGAGAGAGGAGTCCTGAGGGAAGAAAATATGTCTTCAAAGGAGGGGAACATTTAGGTCTGGGACCAATCTGAAGCATCTGTCACTCCTTTCCTGTACGTCCTCTGATATTGGTGGAGACTAAGCAACAAGGACTCTTCATAGGAATTCACATTTTCTGCAATTACATGCATCTTCTTCCCATGTGTGTCTGTAAACTATTTGTGTACAAACAAGATGCTAGTGGGCAACATTCATCTACCATCTCATTAGCATTAGCAGGGGTGCACAATGGTGTATGCACACAGCAGCTGACCCACAGCGGCAGGTATGGGACATGACTCTAGGCCGTGCAGTAGTAATACATCCCTGACATCTTTCCATTTGCTGGAGGATGGATGAGCTTGACCCCTGAGTACTTGACCTTGTTCACCCTCTAGCAAGAGCAACGCATTCCCCACTGTAACAACATCACTCTGTTCAGCATTAGAAAACGTTCCGCTTGCTGGATGTTGAAAGAGGAGACCACCTCTGAGGTGTAGTTTCATACAGATTGGAGTCACATGTAGACGTTTGAGTTTCTGTTCAGATATTCCTCTAAATGAGTAAAACAACATGTGGGTGTAAGCCTTAGGATTGCAGTGACTTTGTGTTTCGGGTGTAGCTTGCACAACATTGTTAGCAGGAACTTGTGTTCAACATGATGTGTTATCAACGTTTTTTTCCCCCTCCTTTACTTCACTCAGTTCATAAGTATTTTCATACTGAGGGTTATCATAACATGACCTCATGAAAAGCTAAACAAAGCATTCCTTCTGCACAGAAAGAAACATCTTTCCCCTCATATTTTCATTTTTCTCCTCTTATTCAAAGCTTTTATTGTCGTTTTTACTTTCTTCTCCTTTTCTATAATTCTGTAGCCCTCTTTCCATTTGTCCATCCCTCCTTTTTTCTCTCCTCCTGGTCCACCCTAATTAGAGGGAAGTTAAAATAGGAATGCCGTGCTAAGCATTGGCAGACCAAAAGTCCGGCAAAATCGGGTTTGCTGCCAGACGAGAAACCTTTTGGGAACGTTTGCCAGCACAATGCCTTTAAGTGGGTCACGAAAACTAAAACCCAGACATGACTTTTTAGTGCTTAAAACAACCCTCTGGAGGCAGAGAGCTCCAACCAGAAGGTCAAACATCCCCTCAATCAGGACTCCTAAATCCCAGACACCTCCGGGGCCGTGGAGCTGAATTTATTAGCGAGCTTTACTCTGGCTTGATCACCTGTGGGCTGGAACAGGAGAAGGCGGTTTTTCTTGAGTCAGCCTGAACAGGAACTTGGTACCGCTACTAGCTATTTATTTTTCAAATGTTCTTATTCAGCACTGTAACTAGAGAGGCCCAGATGGCTGCCGCTGGCTCGATTGGCAGGCGTGTATGTCAGGCTGTTTATATTTGGGTCTGTGTCTCCAGGGATACTCTCATAACTTACACGGCTCTTACACCACAACCCGATCCGATTACAAAAACAGTACATTGCCAAAGATGTTATTGTTGGTTTTTTTCATTCATTTTCATAATTATGTGATGGTTTTTCCTGTTTAACTTTAATCGATAAGGACATTTTTTCAGAGTTCTTGTTTATCGTGTTTTCTTGGGATGTTAAACATTGTATCCTTGCATGCTAGTGAGAAATAAAACACAGTACTTTTTTAGTGGCAATCCCTTGTTTTGTGACAATATGATTTTAAGTTAAAAACCTGAGCTGAACCCATTTCTGTGTTCATCAACCTCTATGTGCAGTTTTTGAAAACGGAGGCAGTTGTCACATACTTGTTTTAATGGGTTGTGTGGTGCTGCATTACATTACTAAAGGTTTATGAGGGGAAATTTGGTAAAGCCCAAACTGACAGTTAACCTTGGCTGCAACCAGTAATTAGACTTCCCATTGGAAAGCACACACAATGGTGACTGACTCAGATTTAGGAGGCAGAATGCTGGTTTGGATATCCTCCCAGAAGAAATAGTCCTCTCTTTGATTCTACAGACAATAACATTGTGTCGCTCTAGTGTGGGCTTTCAGTCTTGTGTCGACTTAATTGGTCACATCCTGCATTTAGTACGGTTAGGGCTTTGTAGTGTGATGCTCTCAAGCTCCTTGCACAGAGGAACAGCCAACATATTGTAAACGAATAGCAGGAGATTTTGGGAATCAAGCTCTTTTGCTTTTTTGTTGAAGGTTAAATGAGAAGATCGATATCCTTTTCAGGATTTTACGCTAAATAATGCTTGGTGTAGTATAAACATAGAAACAGGGGGAAACAGATAGCCTGGCTCTGTCCTAGGGGAACAAAGTCTACCTACCAGCATCTTTTAGAGGTCATTAATCAATACTTTATAAGGTGATTGTTTCATCCGTACAAAACAACATTGTAGATTCACTGCAGATGTTACTATAGGAAGGGTGAAATGTTATCATACTTACCCTTTAAATTATGGCTGAAAGTTATGCATCATTTAAACGCATTGTGTGCTGTCACAGGTTGGTAGTGGCTTGCTCTCAGCTACGCAGCGGCACTGCCTCAGCCCCACCAACAATTGGCCTCTTTGCCAATTTTCGGATAAGCCGAAGTAAGTCGACTTGGAAAGGAAGCCACAGACTTTAATACAGACTATACTAAAGCTTCATACTCAACAGAAACACGTGAGAGTGAAAATACCAATCTTTTCATCTAACTCTCTGCAATGAAGCAACCAAGCACATTTCCCAAAATGTAAAACTATTTCAAAGAGGACAGCTGAATTAGATTTTTCTTTCAACATCTAGCTGTAATTGTTTCATCTGCGTCTGAACTTCTGATTGACTTCTACTCCTCTTCTTGTAACTTCCTGAAAGATTCATTCTCTAACTATTTATTGTTTACAGAATAAATATGAGGGTTATGAGACATGTTGCACTCAGCCGAGAGTCTGAAAATGCAGCCCACACAACATTCAAACTTTGCTCCCTTTCTCAGGCAATGCTTGGCGGAAACAT